TCATGAGTGGTCGCTCGGCCCGCGGGCTGTGGCAAGACCAATCATCTCCGATGGCATATAAATTGTCTAGAGATGATGGCGGTGTTTCAGGCTTGAAACTTTCTCCCAGACTCAGAGATCATCATGTTCTTGTCCGGTCAGACAACATGTCTGTGGTCTCTTACATAAACCACCAGGGGGGTCTGCGCTCACGTCCATTGTACAAGCTGGCGCGCCAGATCCTGTTGTGGTCCCAGGGGAAACTTCGGTCGCTGAGAGCGATTTATATCCCAGGATACTTAAATCGGGGAGCGGACATCCTGTCGAGGCAGGGCCGAGGCCCGGGGAGTGGAGACTTCACCCCGAGGTGGTGGAGCTCCTTTGGAGACACTTCGGTCGGCCGAAGTGGACCTCTTTGCATCAGGGAGAATTCACACTGCCCGCTGTGGTTTTCCCTGAGTCCTCCAGCTCCATTGGGGCTGGATGCGTTGGTACAGGAGTGGCCGAGGGCACCCCTGTACGCATTTCCCCCGATTGCTCTGCTCCCAGGGGTTCTGGAAGGATTCGGCCAGGAGGGGGTCAGTGTACTTCTGGTGGCCCCCATTGGCCAACCAGGGTATGGTTTGCGGACCTGATTTCCCTTCTCGAGGGTCTCCTCTGGAGATTCCGGTCAGGAGGGACCTTCTTTCTCAAGCAGACGGGGGGATACTCCACCCCCGTCCGGAACTGTGGAGGTTGTGGGCTTGGCCTCTGAGGGGGCCCAGCTCATAGATTCAGGTCTCTCGACTGAGGTCGTGGAGACCATCCTCCAGTCCAGAGCCCCATCCACGAGGAAGTTGTATGCCTTGAGGTGGAAACTGTTCACCTCTTGGTGTGGAGAGCGACAGTTGGATCCAGTTAACTGCCCGTTGCCGGCAGGGCTGGAATTCCTTCAGGAACGCTTCTCCACAGGGTTATCGTACTCCACACTAAAGGTGTACGTGGCGGCCCTATCCGCTTACCATGTCCCTTTGAGTGGAGCTTCTCTTGGGAGACATCCCCTGGTAACCCGTTTCCTTCGTGGTATCCTGAGGCTGAGGCCGGTAGTGCGTATGAGGGTACCGACCTGGGATCTAACGGTTGTGTTGGAGAGGCTCTGTTTAGCCCCTTTCGAGCCCATTGATGAGGTGCCTGAGAAGTTTGTTACTCTCAAAACCATCTTTCTCCTAGCCATCTCTTCCCTAAAGAGGATTGGAGATATTCAGGCGCTGTCGGTTTCCCCCTCGTGCTTGGAATTTGCTCCCGGTATGGCGAAGGCTTTCATCCTCCCTAGACCAGGGTATGTTCCGAAGGTTCCAACTACGGTTGTCAAACCTATAGTGCTACAGGCCTTCTGTCCTCCTCCGTTTCGGACACCAGACCAGGAGAAACTAAATCTGCTCTGCCCGGTGAGGACCTTAGACGCGTATGTCCACAGAGCTGCCCTGTGGAGGAAATTAGAACAATTATTTGTCTGCTTTGGGCCTCCTAATAGAGGTTCTGCGGCGTCTAAGCAGAGAATGAATAAGTGGGTGGTCGAGGCCATTTCACTTGCTTATGAGTCCTCCGGTCAGCCTTCTCCCTTGGCTGTCCGGGCTCATTCAACCCGGAGGCTGCCTCTAAGGCATTATTATCAGGAGTTCCCTTGTGTGACATCTGTGAGGCGGCAGGATGGTCTTCACCACACACATTTGTGAAGTTTTACCATCTGGACTTCAGCTCCACCCCAGGGGCGCAGATGCTTTCGTCAGAATGTGCACTCTGATATTCATACAACGGACACCTGCTCGCATGGCGGCGTTGGTATTAGCGTTCCCACGGCGTTTACACGCCATTTACATCCGTCTCGCCATTGGACAGATTTCATACGTGCTTCATGACTCATCACGCAGAGGCGTTCCCACGGCGTTTACACGCAGCGTCTCGTTCCCTTCAGGGAACTAAGGTTACATACGTAACCAGAGACGTTTCCCAACTCCCCTCTATTATTGTATTTGTAAAATGATCCTGTTTATGCCCAAGTAAATTGATCCAATAAGCAACAGATAATTTTTGACGTCTTATTTCTAATGGGGGCTCTCCTGTTTCCACTTGCATTGCTGAGATTGGAGTTGTTCTAATTGCTCCAGTGATGCATCTCAAAGCTCGAGCCTGAATTACGTCTAACCTTTTTAGCATACTAATTGATGCTGATCCATAAATAATGCATCCATAATCCAAAATGGATCGTAATAGAGCACAATATATATTGATTAAAGATTGTTTATCAGTCCCCCATTCTTGGCCTACTATACATCTCATTAGATTTAGTACTTTGCTGCATTTCTCTTCAATATATTTGATATAAATTTTCCAAGTCAATTTTGAGTCAAACCATAAACCTAAATATTTAAAATGTGTTACCCTTTCTAGTGGCTGTTTATATAAATAAAGTTTAATATTTTCTGAAATCCTCTTTTTAGTAAAAAACTGACAGCACGTTTTGGAAATAAAGAATCTAAATCCCCATTCCACTGACCATTTCTCAACATTCTCAATTGCTTCTTGTATTTTTTTCACTATATATTTAACATTTCTTCCCCTCTTCCAAATTGCTCTGTCATCTGCATATAATGCTGTTTTAATTCCTGGATGCATTCCTAGTATGTAGTACTATAGAGTACTATAGAGTTTTTATAATGTTTTTGGCAATTAATTTATATATCATCAAAAGGAGTCCATAAGTTTTTCAGAAATAATTTCCTAGGATTCCTAGGCCATATAGAATTGTCCACATCTGACCTATTGAAATTATTTCTGAAAAACTTATGGACTCCTTTTGATGATATATAAATTAATTGCCAAAAACATTACAAAAACTCTATAGTAATTTGGACACTACCAACCACCTTGAAACACCATAGGACCCACACAGACTACCATAGTAACCACCTAAAACACCCTAGCAACCACCCAGAACACCCTAGCAACACTCTAGCAACCGCCTAGCAACCACCCAGAACACCTTAGCAACACCCTAGCAACCAACCAGACCACCCTAGCAACCACCTAGCAACACTCATTGAACTCATTTCTGGTCAAAGGGTACTTGATCATTAGGTTACTATACATTGATATTTACTACTTATGATGTTTTATGAGCAGGAAGATAACCACCCAGAACACCCTAGCAACCACCTAGCAACACCCTAGTAACCACCCAGAACACCCTAGCAACACCCTAGCAACCACCCAGAATACCCTAACAACCACCTAGCAACCACCCAGAACACTGTAGCAACCACCTGGAACACCCTAGCAACCGGGTGCTGAGATTTGCCATTGCAAGCACCACTTCACATTTTCTTCTGGAAATTTGCCAAAAATGTGTTACATAGGTCAAAAATTGACCCATGTATAGCTAATACAACATCAGAAGGAGTCGACAAGTTTATTTTGCTATGGTAAAAGGGTCCTCAAAAGGTTTCAAACAATAAAAACATATTGATTAGTTTATATCATGTTACATTATATTACAAAAGAATGGATTAGTTAACCTAAAGGGAAATAAATGAACTCCATTACTAACACTATTGCTACAGTATATAGCATACAGTATAGGACTTTGGCAGTTAATTATTAAATAATAAAGCAGTAAAACAACATGAAAATCACCACAATGGTAGACAGTGAGATGAAGAACAAGAATCTGGTGGAGTTTGCAGAAAACAATTTGATTTCGATTTTTTATGAATTTATGAAATATTGCTATATAGCCAGGTGTACAGTATAGGGCTTTGACAGGTAATTATTAAATAATAAAACAGTAAAATAACATGAAAATCACCACATTGAGATGTGGAACAAGAATCTGGTGGAGTTTGCAGAAAACAATTTGATTTGCATTTTTTATGAATTTATTAAATATTGCTATATAGTATACAGTATAGGACTTTGGCAGTTAATTATTAAATAATAAAACAGTAAAACAACATGAAAATCACCACAATGGTAGACAGTGAGATGTAGAACAATAATCTGCTAGAGTTTGCAGAAAACAATTTGATTTCGATTTTTTTTATGAATTTATTAAATATTGTATATAGCTCTGGCTATAGCCAGACAGGTAATTATTAAATGATAAAATAGTAAAACAACATGAAAATCACCACAATGGTAGACATTGAGATGTAGAACAATAATCTGCTGGACTTTGCAGAAAACAATTTGATTTAGATTTTTTATGAATTTATTAAATATTGCTATATATACAGTATAGGACTTTGACAGGTAATTATTAAATAATAAAACAGTAAAATAACATGAGCATGTAGCATGTCCACGCTTCACCTGCACTCAGAGGTAGACACGTATCTGATATGTTCGCCATTATAACAGATGAACAGTAAATTAGTAGTGATACCACAACTATCACTACTAATTTAGGACTGAAATGCCGGAAATAACCAGGATTCAGTAAAACGGGTGTAAAATGAGACGGCCACGCGTGGAATGCTAGTGGGCTAAAGGCTAGTAGCAGGTGTTGTGCCTAATTCCGACCCCCCGGCTAAAGACTACCCCCTTTCGCGTGCACGCGGACAGTACCGTCGTGTTTCCGGTAGATGGCAGTTAAAACCAAAGGTTATTTTAACAAGACTAAGGATGGGACATACAAAACTTAATTCAACACTTCATATTATAGGGAAACATGGTACTGGTTTATGCAAAATATGCCAAGTAAAGGAAACAGTTGTGTTGTTATTTTGTTCCAGGTATGAACTGGAAAGAAAGGATTTAATAAGTGAACTAAAGGAAATGGGATGCAAAGAATTTACAATCAATAACATATTGAACACAAAACAAGGATCCAGGGAAATTGTAAGGTCAGTTTTAAAATTCATAAAGAATAGTGGTCTTAGGACTAGAATTTAGTCATCTTTTAACATACTTCTAGACTGAAATCACTTCACACTCTAGCACAGGTGGTGGCGGTATGCAACACAAAGTTGGTATGCAACCCGCCAATAAATCCATAGAAGAAGAAGAAGAAGAGTGACGTATCAAGCGGATGAGGATTGAGATCTGATGTTCGTGCTGGTCATATCGTACGCTTAAAACAGATAATACTACAGGTATGTGTAAAATATAAGTATTAAATTATTTAATTAATGTTAATTTTATTCCGAGTGCAGTTATCGGGCAGGTTAGAGAGTGAAATGTTTTCGGTCATGAGTTTACGGAGGTGGAAGGATAATCGCTGATATTATGAGATCCGAGTGACTAAAATAAGGATGACATCAATTAAAAATTTTAACTTATTCCCCATAATGAACGTCACAAGTTATGTATTCTTCAACTGTAATTTTATAGAGGCCTAACTGATGATTATAGCTGTGTAGCATGGTAGCTGGCCTGCTAATAACAGAGCTCGGGTATTTACTTGGATCACAAAATCATTTAATTCAGACAGTAGTGCATTTAATACATATTCACTATATTTACAGCCTTAAATATTGATGACCATTTATAATTTAAATGTTTTAATGAGATGGAATTTGTGTTCTAAAATTTCCAGTTTCCAATTTTTCCAATTACAAAAAAATATCTAACCAGCAGATGGTAAAAATATGCATCAGACACCTAGATCAATATCCAGAAACAACTCGTATATAAATTTGATCATCATTAATCTGTTTTTTCCATAAAAATGTAATATTTCATATTAATGCTAATACTGTAGTTGAGGAATTCTCCAGTAAATAGGTACAAAAGTACTTCATATCCCCCAAAACACAGCATAAAAATATAGATGAGAAGTAACTGAAAAAAATGATATATAATTTGTATTATTAAAATGTATATTTTTTGTACAATGTCTCTATGCATCTTTGGGGTCATATAGACCCCAAATGCACTAAGTGTAAACAGGAAACTAAGACCATATGAGTATTAATTTCACTTTAGACTGTGTTTACGTGGATGCTTGTCAAAACAGACATTTTTACAAAATAGGCCTTTATCTCACTTGCGTGTTTGAAAAGCAGAAGCTTCAAATAGGAGCGCAATCAATCGTTGTGCCCATAGCACAGGATTGTTGTGATTTGTTCATGTAAAATTCAGCACAGATACTTCTAAAGACACCAACCCCAGTTTACAATCAGTAACTGAGTATTGTGAAACAAAGAAAAAAAGGTGTCTTAATATTCCAGGAATTTCTGACTCATATTTTGTGATTTAAACAAGGGTTCCTATAATGCTTTATCAACTTTAGTTAGTTTGTAATGTTGCTGTTTAAGCATAACAAAGATCACAAGATCTGGAAAAAAAAACTCTGTAACCTTAAAGAAGTCATAAGGTTAATCATTTAAATAATCTCCGTCCTAGAGAAGATGAAAAAAGAAATGTACAAAAAAGTACCACTCTGAAACATTCTTTGAAATTAGTGCTTGCAAAGTCCATGCTTGAAATCTATTCTACATGATCCTCTTTTTCATTTAACATTGTCAGGGTCTGAATTGATGCCATCCTTAATTATCAACACCAGAGCTGAATTCACTATTATGAAGGGGCATGACATTTCCAAATGTGGACTAAGCGGTGCCAAATCCGTTCACAACACACCGGGCCTGCTAACCAATCACAGCATATTTTGTATTTCGGAAGGAGAGGCTTCATCGAAAACGCCTTGTTCAACCAGACTGCTGAGAGAAGAGCTGTAATAATGTAAAATATGTGAAAAGTAATGTTTTTTTTTTAACAATCAAGCATGAAAACATTGTAGTATGCCCCAAAAACAAAAACAAGACTTTGTAAAAGGGCAAGTAGGACCCATGTTATATATAATTGAACATAATAATAAAGTGTAAAATTAGGGCGTTGTCATGTCGCCGGAAATAGTCATCAACTGTTCTAATGTGTAGTTAGGGTTAAGTTTGTATGTGTCTGACAGTTCATTAAGATTTAAAGCTTAATTGACAAAATGGCAGATAGCAACAAGGTTTCTTAGCGCAGCAATTTGAGGCCTTACAATTTTGTAAGGTCAATTCTGATGCCAGTATCTGTTCTTGTGATATAGCTTTCAGATGTCTGAGCATGTCTATGAGAAGTTCCTTGCTCCAGAGGAGCCATTTCCACTGCTTTCACAGGGAGGAAACTTCAGTGAAAATGCCACACTGGATATTAGCGACTTTGGGTGTCAGTTGTCATCATGTCACCGAACAGACCCTTTACACCGCTTTCACAGCAGCAGGTAAGTGACTGGTTATTAGGCAGGAGTTTATTATGGTGCTTTTCTATCAACTCGCCTCGACTTGGCTCGCTTTTCGCTCCGTTTTCCTTTGTAGACAGTACCGCCACAAATAGTACCCTGTCATCATAGCGACACCTTTCGTTCCTTGTTGCCCCATCAAGCTCTCGCTGGATCCTCTCTTCGGAAACCAAACAAAGGAAAGTCTGCACCTCCTCGTTTGACCACGGCGTCTTCTTCCAAGTTGCCATAATAATATTAAAAGGGTGGTTGATTGCGATTTCACTTGCCCGAACGTTTCTTGTCTGATCATAATTACTCCTCAATGGTTTGAGTCCAGACCGAACTTCCCGACCAAAAAATGTTGTGGGCGGAGTTCGGGCTGGCATCCAGGCTACAAGAAAGTGGTATTAAAACATGAAGCAGTTCCAACTTTAAAACCAGAGGCAGCAGTTGTTGGGCCACAATCTGTAAGTAGGCTAAGACTTAATCATTTTAAAGTCCCTGTAAAGTCAATTCTACAAAAAAGTTCTAAACACATTATAAATGTTACATATGTATTGCTAAAACATATTACAAAGTCTGTGAACTGTGAAGTACTGAAATGTGGAGTTAGACCGTTAAACAGTTTTTCACCATTGCAATTTTACGGATTAATTGGCCGGGGCTAAAACAGGGCTCCGTGACGCACTGGAACCCATGAGCTGCTGGACACCCCCCTATTTGATGACGCACTGAGTCTGATCTCCCCCTCTCCACACACACTCCCCGAGCACATTCGCATTCACCGCTCAATCGCGAGTGACTGTCAGTACTATTAGTTACTACAGCTGAGCCTATAGTTTTCTAGCTAGCTATGCCTTCGACACGGACATGCATGGGCTACTACCTGGATGCGATCATGTACAAAACAGATCGGTATCTTCATTTAAATTCCCTTAAAAACGATCACATCAAGAAGAGGTTTTTAGAGAGCCTAACGTTACCTTGATGAAGAGCTGAGGATCACCCCCAACACCCGCCTCTGTAGTGATCATTTTACACTGGATCGTTTTATAAACTTTCCTCAGAGACAACTTGGATTCACTGATAATTCACTGATAATCCGCTGTTACTGGTGAACGGGGCTGAAACGACGATCTCCCGCCTCAGCTTTCATTCTCCCGTCTCCAAAAGCTAATCAGCTAATATCACCGTTAACAGCTTTCCCGTGAGTGGGCGTGGTTTCAGCACAGCCAGCGGACACGCCCCCAGCGTTTGAGAGCAGAGAATCTGCTCATTTTTTCATGATTTTGATAGCTTATTTTATGTACTTATAATTTCAGACCTAATGTTTCAGTTTTATCAAATACCTGGCTTTATATAATAAGCTGGCTTTATAGCCACTTAGTTATGCTTAATTATGATTTCGTGTCTACGACAAACGCGTACAAACATTTTGGACCTGAATTTGTATATGTACTAATTTTTTTAATATATTTTTCATATACTTTATGAAGTAATTTTTGAATTTGATCAAGAACGTAAACCAATGCCAATGCTGTTCGTGTATATAGCCAGTTAGTTTGATGCAATTTTGTGTAAGACAAACGTGTATAAAGTTCAAAAATTATATGTTTTTACTAAGTAATTGCAGCAAACTGCAGCTCTTGTTATCAGTGTACAGTATGCTTTTAACACAATTGCCACATGTAGACTACACCTAAATAAAACGATACACTCAGTAAACTGAGTTTTGTGAATAGATTTCAACTAGCGTTCTGTTTAATTTTTCCTGACCGCCAGAGATGATGCTAAAAACTAGTGGATGATTCATATCAACGTACTCATGAGGAAAGCCACCCACTTGCAAAACATCAGGGTTGCACCAGAAGGACTGCAGAGCTCACATCATGGGCAGCAGCCACGTTAACCTTGTAGAGCTGCGCGAAGGTTCATAGTCAGGTAGCAGCTTCGCAGACACTGCCAATGACACTCCCTATAAAGTGGCTTAAAGGCCTGTTCACACCGGGACGAATTTCGCGCGCGTTATTCGTCGACGTTTAACGCCTCGTGACTAAACAATGGGCGCCAATGTGAGTGTTCACATCGACGCGAAAAACGCCACGCGTAAAAGCGTCATTTTTAAAAAAACGCCTCTGGTTCGTTTTTTTGGTTTGACGCGCCGCGTCGAAACCTATCCGACCAACGAGATTGGCGGGTTTGCTCACGTGTCTGGTACTTCTGAAGTTACAGTAAAACACAACTTGAGGGCGCTCAAACACAAAACGGTCTTGCCGAGCACACATACGGCGAAGAAGAGATAAGATACCTATGGGCAAGATGAATGTTGAGCTGCTGGTCTCGGAGCATAAAGAGCTATAAGATAATATTTATTTTAGTATTTCTGTAATAATAGTATAGTATAGGGTGACCAACAGTCCTGTTTTCCCGGGACATGTGTAAAACGATCACTTTGTGCTTTACAGAAATCTGAGTTGAGATGAGAACTGCGCATAGTGTGCTTAGTCTGAGTTAGATTCAACTCTAGACAACTCTCGTCTCGTGCATCTGTTCATCCGACAACTAGTGCTATGTTTTTATCTCTGGGCAACATCTCAACTTTGCGTACACATGTCCTGTTTCCACGTCCTGTCCTGACTGTTTTTAAGTGATGAAAATGTCCTGGTTTTCAAACAAAAACTGCTGGGAAAGATCAGTTCTACAGCAAAATATAAATGGGCAAACAAGGTGGACGAGGAAGAAAAACAAGATAAAGAGAATGAAAACTAAAGATATAAATAGATTTTGTTAGTTCGTTTTTGTAAGTTTGTGAGAGCTATTTTTTGTTACATTTGGAGGCATTTCGTTTAGTTATTTATTATTTATATATTTATTTTTCTAATACAGAAGACATTTCTATCATTTCATTCGTTTTTTTTTGTCTGTCATAATAAAACATTGAGACATGAACATGATCACCCTAGTATAGTATTCTATTATTATTTCTGTTTTACATTAAGCGCCATCTAATGTCAGGGAATGAATTTGCATGTTCATTCGGCTCATCGTCAGCGAAAAACGCTTGGGTGTGAACACAAAAAACGCGTTGAAAAACGCTGACGAATAACGCGCGCTGATATTCGTCCCGGTGTGTACGGGCCTTAAGACGACGAGACGGCCTTATTGGAGTGACAAGTAACACCCACTGGTAAGGTTTTATGAGATTTGTTATACGCCAACTTTATCACCTCGACAATCCAGCATGATGGTATCTGTTTGGATAAAGGTGCACTTTTGCTTACCTCACCGTAACAGACAAATAACTGATCCGTCTGTCTGAAAGAAGTGGTTGACTAAACATAGCACTTTAAAGCTGATGGGAAGCTGCCATTGTTCTCCCTGTAACAGACTCAGAAGGAGAAGAAACCTTCGGCCATCGGGATGCAACTAAAGCACCCTGTGCTTGTATAGGAATATTTGGTGTAATGTTTCCCACAGAAGTGGAAGAGTAAGGATTGCATACAACAGGCAACTCAGCCACTCATGGGTAGCAGATCCCTAGACAGAGCATCCGCCACTTGATTGTCCGATCCCGGGAGATGAACTGCCTTTAACAAAGCCAGCTGGCCCTGAGACCATTTAAGGATCTTGCGAGTTACCTGTAAAAAAGCAAGAAACCTGTTGCTGCCCTGATGGTTCAAATAAAAGATCATTGACATGTTGTCGGACCGGACTAGCACTTGACGACCCATCAAATTTGGTAAGAAGTGTAAGAACTAAGAACACTGCCTTCATTTCCATGTCACCAATTCCCCTCTGGTTCCAGGTTTCCCCCCCATCCTGTTAGTGAAGCATCGGTCATGATCACTTCTCGATGGGAGGACACCACCCCTAGTGGCATGCCAGCTTTCAGAAATGTTATGCGTTTCCAGGGTTTCAGTGCATGGACAGAAACGGCATGCTGGAGAAACGACAATCATGCAATGACGATGTCTGAAGAGGCCTAAATTGAAATTGCGAATTGAAAATATGCCCAATGGAAACATGACCATTTCTCAAACTCCCATTTATCGCAAAAAACATTTTATGCTCGCAGGAAGTGGTTTTTCAGGCAATTCGAAAAACAAATATTTCGCAAAACTGCAATGGAAACTGTTTTTGCGCATCTACAGGTCACCTGACGTAGATGATGTGGTATAGACAGAGTACGAGACAGTTCTCTATTAAATTCATAAAGGAAAAAAGAATTGCAGGAATACTGGATTCTAAACCTCAAAGAAATGTCACAATCAAGACCTCCAAGCTGATATGAGGGATAAACAACCAGAAACACCAGCCGTTCCAAGTATTCTTTACCATTAATGCTTGGATAACACACGTCTTTTTCGATTAAAAATAAGAATAACAAGAATTTGACTTATTGCGAAAGGAAAAAATTATGTTTTAGTCGCATAACATCGGTTAATGGAAACGTCACAAAATAAACTATTTCACAATAGTTCACAAAAGTTTTATCTTTAGTAAATCTGTAAAGCACTTAGTGTGGGAGACAATAATGGGACCAAGCAACTCTGTGTCGTTCAAATTAAAACCGTTTTACTACACAAACACTACACGTGATTCACCCACCCCAGTCCATAGCCGGCAAATGCGTTAAAACCTAACAGTTAACCGTTGCAGGCCTGGACACCCCAAAGAAGATATCACGGGTTCATCAAGTTCATTGAAATTATCCATCCTCGATCACTTTTAGTCAGCTTTGACAAAATTCCTCTCAGCTTACACGTCTTTACAAAGTGACTAGCAGTCTTGTTTTTGGTTGTGTTCTTCGGCGTGGCTAAACAAAATGACCCCTTCACTCCTTTTGGAGAAAACGAAACGATTTACAGATACCTTAATCCAGCGTTTCTCAAAGTGTTGGGCGCGCCCCACTGGTGGGGAATAGAAACATGACAGGTGGGGCGCTACAAATGGGAGAAAATGTGGTAATTTTGTGCCCAACTCTATTAGTTCCTTTATTTATCGAGCATAAACTCAAAACAAAACGAGGACACATTTAAATGTAAGCCTTACTTAACCTTTTAACACGCACGTTTAAAAGTTTTTAGAGGTGCCGTTATTTAGATCGTCTCCCTTTATGGTTTCCATGGTGACGCATCATTGCTTGTCACACCCATAGACAGTATGGTCACACACCGCGCTGAATAATAATAATAATAATAATAATAATAATAATAATAA